GGCCTCGCGGGCTCCGCTGGCGGCGTCCCCGCCGTGCGGGCCCTGGCCGCTGCCGTTTGCCAACTTTCTTCTCTTTCATCATCTGCCTCTGCCGTCCCGGCTGATGCAAGGCGTTGTGTTTCACAAACTGTGAGGTGGTTGTTTAGCTGCTCTGCCTGGCGCCGTGCCCCGCTCCGCTGCAGGTGCGATACAGCAGCACAGCACCTGTGAGAGAAGCAGGGAGCGCCCGCCTTTGGGGTGGCTTGGCTTTGAGGAGCCACGTTTGCCTCGCTGGAAATCATAAGGAAGAAATAGGCTTTATGGGTTGCTAAATATGTTAATAAAGAAGAATGTTACTTTTGGGAAGAAATTGTACCGCTTAGTAGAAGTAAATACTGGCACGAAAGCTGTGAAGGATGATGCCACCATAGCATGTTGTCATTTCTGCAACGCAGAAGCTGCTAGAAGAGAACTGTGAGTTTTTACTTGGAATGACAGCACTGCAAACTCTAAAGAACACTGATCCCTATCAGTGCCTTCTTATTCATCTTTCTCTTTGCTAATGCTTATTGAGGGTTTGGGTTTTTTTTTGGTTTAGGAAATCCTCTATTAAGATGGAAGAACTTAGGGGTTTGTTTAGACTGGGATGGTTATTTTCTCTGAGACTGGTATTTATTCTGCTTCACAGTGGATACACAGTGGTGTGCAGTATGTGTTTTTATGTAGATATATGGGATAACTTGGTATTACCTTATCTGCAGTGCATATGGGGTATAAACTTTTACACCTTATGCTTCTGGTTTGCATTTCGCTAAGGTTAGGAAGGTAGTTCCCGACCCCTGCCCCCCTCTCTTCCCTCTTCACAAATACATAGAGGTTGAGCTCTGAATATAATGGATATTTATTTATAGTGGATATAAAAGGCAGTGTCACTGAGAGCATAAAACATGTATGGGCCTAGAATCAGCTTTGCAGTTTAAACTGGAGTATGGAAGAACCTGAACTGTCATTTTCTTTTGAGGAATAGTGGCGATGAAGATCTTTAGCAAGAAGCCAAACTAGTGAAGCTGTGTGAGGGGTGGTGTGTTTTTCTTTTTTCTCAGTCTTCCCTTCTGACTTGGCCTGACTCACAGGAGGTGTGGAATACTCTACTGTGTCTTCCAGTTATCTCTACTGATCCTGGACTAGAACCCATTAGCATCACCCTGATTCATTAGGAAGTTTGCAGGCTTCATGTCTCTTTAATTCCTGGCAAAGCCGCCTTTTTTAAATATCCTGCGTTCAGCCAGACAGTGCCACCTGTATCCAGCACCTTTGGGCTGATAGGAAGGATCTACAGGTTCTTAGTGGGCCTTTGTCATTTGGTGGTGGAGGCTACAAGCCAGTGAAGGTTTTGCAAATAGATCAGTTTAGCCATTGGGCTCAGATTAGCCTCCTGTATTTCAGTTTACTTAAGGGGCTGGATTTGACCTTAGATTTAGTTACCTATCGGTGTTTTATTAATCTTTTACAGAAATAAGCTGTTTACTGTAGGTGATGGTTGAAGTTTAGGAGCAGTGTTCCTGGTTTTTTAATTACAGCTTTTTAGGTCATTTTGCCCTTTCAGAGCTAACTGTTCATGATTAATAAAAAGTTTTACTTCTGGTATTTGTTTTACAAGTGTATGGTTGCTACATGTGCTTGTAGGAACATAGTGACCCTAGAGATGCCCTTCAGTTTGATGTTATGCTGTCTGTCATATTTTTGATAAATTTAGCAGTTCTACCTGTAAACCTCAGTGATTTTGTAATAATTGTTTCGTTCCATTATTTTTCTTGATATTAAAAACTTTTCCATTCTGGGGATTGATCAGCTGTGTGCAGTTACATATGCAGCACTGGTATAATATTCTGGTTAAACAGAAGATAAATAACTTTTAAATCAAGCCATTTATCAAGGCCAGCAAGTAGCAGAAAATGATTGTTTGTCTGCTTGTTCCTCCGGTTTTTTTCCAACTTTTTTTGGTTATGCTGATACCCACAGAGGTCCTGAAGCTTTCATCTGAGGAGGGAAGACAGGTGGTTAATGCTCTGTAGAGCCTGAGGCCATGGTTGTGTGTTCAGCAGAACTGGTTTTATGCACTGCTCAATGGCCTGCAGTCTGTGGTCTGGGTGGGGAGGGCGAACACGGCAACTTTTATGTTGAGTTAGCCAGGGCTCGTGGTGAAACACTGAGTGAGAGGAAGACAAGACCTCACAGTGTCCAGTACAGAGTCTGCTGTTACAACTTGCCCTTTCAAAATCTGTACCTGCACTTGTATCAACAGAGGTTTGGTTTGGTTTGTTGTTGTTGTGGGGTTTTTTTGTTTGGGGGTTTTTGTGGGTTTTGGTTTTTTTTTTATGTTTGGGGGTTTTTTGCCTATTAGAGGACTTGCATTGTGTGACTTCATTGTATTTCGTCTGGCACTGAGAGGCACTAGAACTGAAGTCACCGGGTTATGAAACCATAGCCTGAATTTTTCCACAGTGGAGATCGGGCTCTCTGGTAAGGACGGGGTAACCACCTGTGCTACTTTTGCCCCAAACCCTGTTTTTTCTGGTTACCAAAAGGCCTGCTTTTCAGTGACAATAGATTTGGTACTCTTGTAATAGCTCTGTCCACTGACCTGTAGAATAATGAAATAGGAGTGTTTTTATACTGAAGAGAATTCCTCAAAGATGACTTCAGATCAGCTGCCCGGTTTTTGCAACGCAGCCAGCACTGTTTCAGATAGGTGGAGGCTTTTGGTGCAGGTAGTTCCCTTCCTCTGACAGGAGTGCTGCTGCTGAATGCCTGGCCAAATTCAAGCAGCTTGGCGTCATTTCAGGAGAAGTCTGGAACCCGGGCTTTGCCATTTGGCATTTGTTATTTTGGCGAGTGAAGAAATGTGATTAAAAAAACCAATCTGGGACAATGATTTAAAAACAAAATTGACGGCTGAATACAGTGTGATATAAAACCAAAACCAAACACCATGCGAACAAGAAAACCAACCCAAAACACCACCCCCCACCAAGTTCCCTAGCTGAGATTTCAGGAAAAGCATTAATGAAGGAAGAAAAAGATGTAAAGGGAAATGACAGCCACGTTCGAAGTGGGGCTTTATAATAAATGGGGATCCTGTTTCTCTCTGAGTTTGATACTTAAGTTGGTTGTTAGTGAATATTTTTGCTTTTATAAACTGTGTTTGTCCTTGTCACCGTTGCCTTTTTTACAGAGGAACCCCAAATACATTAGTTGAAGTTGGTGAGGGAAGAGTGTTACGTTAGAAAAATATACATTAACTGCTCTGGTTCAGAGAGATGAGCAAATGTGTGCTGTATTTTTTAAGAATCCTAAATGGAATCAGAGATTTCATATTTTGTTGTGCACGTTTCTAGCCACACTGGCATATTTAGATGTTCCGATTCAAAGTTTATGTGTATTTTCTGTGTTAACGAACTGGCAGTCAAGACGGGATTGATGATAAAACAGAGTAAATAAATGTAAACGAATAGGTGCATTTCCCTGTGTTCTTACTGGGAGTAACTTGGTGTGGGGAATAAAGCAGATGTCTGACGTTCTCAGAACTCTGCTTTTTTATAAAATGATGATTATATTGACAGCTTTATTCAACCATGGTTTCTTGTTGCTGCTTTATTACACTGGGTGCATACAGCAACACACGGTTGATCAGAAATTATTCTGCTACTTGTGCAATGGGGTTCCCCCCTCCCCCCAAGATAAACCTATAGTAAATTTTATTTAATGACTTGATATATTTTAAGGAACCTGACATGCATCAAACTTCTTTTTGAAGTCTTTCCGTTAGTTAACAACTTTAAAAGATAATCTGAATGTGTAACAATAATGAATACTCTGCATTTCTGGTACAGGAGAAGAAATAACCAGGCAGCTGCAGGCAGCCAGCTTTCCTCTGAAAATAAAAACAACCTACCAAAGTCCTCTGGTAGTATTGTAACAAGTAAAATCTGTACTTCAGATTTTTTCATTCTGGCTTCGTACTCTTCAGGTACTCGTAACTTCAGAATTGGTATTTTTAAGAGTCATTGGAAGGAGTGAAAGAAAGGTGAGACGTTGTTTTGCTCAGTGGTTGAAGGGAATTGGTTCCTAAAGATCCTAACTTGTGTCTTTCACCAGAAAGGTGTTTCTCTTGAATAAGCTGCAGTTCCTGTTGTTTTAAAGTTCGTTATTGATTTATTGATTGGCCCCGTGTGCATGTGTTTTGAGCTGATCTAAGAGCTTTTTGGCTGGATCGAGTAGGTATGTACCTAGCAAAGCCGTATGTGCTCCAAGTTTAAAAAGAGATAATAGGAAATGTGTACAAAATAATATATTTTCTTGCTCTACTTTTATTCTATTTTTTTTCTGGTTCCAGAATAACAGTGTGTGAGTTAGTGTGGTGCTCTGTAACATCATAATTTGGATTCTTCTTTTTTGAAAGCAGTGAAATGGCATATCTTGAGTGTTAAAAGAATCTACTTTTACTTGCAGCGTGCTTTGAAAATGTCTGAAAATTCCAGTGACAGTGACTCGTCTTGTGGCTGGACTGTCATCAATCATGAGGTACCTCATCTCAAATTAATAAAGTCCTGTCAGTTGAACACTGGCCGTATGTGGTAAAGTATTATTTCAGCTTTGTTGGAACTTGCATATCAACATAAAATACAGAGGAGAGATTTATAAGTAAGAAAACATAAAACTACTGTATAAAAATGTGTATCCTTTACTGTAGCTGATACATTTTTTTTAATTGAAAAGAATATTTTTGTCTTCAAAGGTTTTACTTTGAAGAATTGCTGGAATTTTAGTGAGATGCTCTCCTTTGTTCCATCTTCCCTGAAAACATTGATGTGCTGTGTAACTTGTCTGTTGTTGCTAATATATTTCATCTTTACCTTCCAAACCCACTTCCACCACCCTCCGTCCCCACCACACACCAAGGGCAATAGCGAGCAGGAAAAATCTCTCATGCAGAAGGAAAGAGAGATGGAGAGAGTCCAGCGTAGGGCTACAAAGATGATCAAGGGAGTGGAGCATCTCCCTTATGAGGAGCGGCTGAGGGAGCTGGGGCTCTTTAGTTTGCAGAAGAGGAGACTGAGGGGAGACCTCATTCATGTTTATAAATATTTCAAGGGTGAGTGTCACGAGGATGGAGCCAGGCTCTTCTCGGTGACAAACAATGATAGGACAAGGGGTAACGGACACAAACTGGAACACAGGAGGTTCCACTTGAATTTGAGAAGAAACTTCTTCTCAGTGAGGGTGCCAGAGCACTGGCCCAGGCTGCCCAGAGAGGTTGTGGAGTCTCCTTCTCTGCAGACATTCAAAACCCGCCTGGACGCCTTCCTGTGTAACCTCATCTGGGTGTTCCTGCTCCGGCAGGGGGATTGGACTGGATGAGCTTTTGAGGTCCCTTCCAGTCCCTAACGATCTGGGATTCTGTGATTTCTCCAGGTGTTTTCTACCATCCTAGCTTCAACAGTTGCTGTTTAGGAACAGCCCTCTGTCTTTACATTCAGTCTTACTATGAAAAATAGGATAGAGACAAGTTAATGCTCAATGAGTGAAGTATCAGTAGAAGGCATTTTCAAGGCTCATGTGAATGCTGTAGTCGTTATCTTTACATCTCTGTTTGTAACTGACTGCTTTTGTTTCTGTCTGGAACAGTCTCTTTGAGTTGAGCCTCTGAGCTCAGGAGGTTGAGGACTGGCAGGAAGACATTTGTGAGATGTGCTGCCTTTAGTCTTTTGTATTGTCTCACTGCTTACAGAATGCTCAGGCAGTTTGGAGAAGGATCCACGTAGGCCTGTTTGGTCTTATTTGCACACTTCTGAGCACTTCCACTTGTGTAGAATGCTGTTCTGCATTGAGAAGGAAAGATATGGCAAGTTGAGAGGGTCTGGGGTCTGCAGAAATCAACGGTGTTGCAAAGGCTGGTTGCAAATTCCTTGGGGAGAGTTTTGTAACGGGGAGTATGTAATTACATATTCCATGGCCAAGATGCTCAAGGTTTTCCAGACTTTCTTGCCTCAAGTGGAATCCAAAGGAAACTGCAGTGAGTGAAGGAATGCCAACATTTTATTAGGTTTATTGGGAAATGAAGGTGATGGGAGGGCAGGTCAGGTCTTCTTGCATCTGTGCTGTAAGATCAGCAGTAAGAAAGAAGTAGCTTAAAATGGTGATTGGTGAGCACTTGATGTACTTACACTTGGAGGGTCTTGAAAACTGTAACAGAGTGAAAGAACCTTGGAGGTGGTAAGAGATACTTCTGTGAGGCGCATTGAGTTTTGAAGTGTCTGTCTTTTGTGCTTTCCAGGGACTTGCAGCAGCATTTAGCACAAGCTCTTTGCCATTCACACTGGAATTCTGGGTTTCCTTGGCCCTATTGTTCAGACAGGAGAGCACAAGGCATAAAATACGTAGAAATAACCTGGATGTTGGCACCTTGTGGAAGAGGAATTCATATGGCAGTGCAGGACTGAGCTTGTGGCAGCTACTATAAGAACGTTGTTTTTTCCTTTTCCATGAGGCAAACTGTCACTGAAAAGGTATCTTCTGTAAGGAAATAGTCAAGAGCAATCTCATTATTGTGTAAGGAAGTTGTGGTGGTAGATTGTGTGGGAGCCGATGGAAAGAGCTAACAGACTGTACAAGGCAAAAAAACGTTCTTGGTTCAAAATGCTTGTTGCCTTTTAAAACCTATGCAGTTGATGTGTGAAGTTCTGTGTCGTGTGTATGGCTTCAGATGTGTTTCTGTCCATCTTTGGATCTCTGCTATAGCTTCATTTATCAGGCATACTTATATTTGGGATGAAATGCTAGAATTCCCTCATTCTTTGATCAAGTCTTGGGGTATAGCTCTTTGTAAAGTCCCTGTAATGTCTGTGTAGCCTGGTTTAATTTGTGTGTTTGTTTCCTATCTTCTGATGTTTGACTAGCTGTATAAAGTGACAGTGGCTTTATTAAAGCAAAAGTGATTTTTTAAAAATTCCTAGTAGAATAAAGCTTGAGACGAAAGAAAAAGAAAAAAAGAAGCAATTAAAGGTCTGTTGGGATGAGATTGGTTGTTGCTTAGGCATCTACAAGATAGGTGTCTGAACCTGACACTGGTTTCTAAGTTTACATTGTCTAGACTAAGTCAATACAATTAATGGAGTCCAGAGAGCGGTAATTCTTATGCTTAGGTCAACACTTCCATTTGATCCAGTGACTTGCTGCCTTGACTCCGCTGAGTATTGATTGTAAAGGTGCCTTCAGCAATTTGCTCAGGTGTAGACACTTGAAGTTAGATAAGATTAAGGGTTTATCTTACTTTCCCCGAGCAGTGAACAAGGCAGGCCTACATTGCTCAGAAACTCTGAGGGGCCCTGCCTGTTAGTGTGGGCCTCCAATAGACTTTTCTCCTTTAGTCCTGAGGATTTTTGTATCTCTTCAGATCTTGGCTGAGGCATGGCTGTCGTACGGGAATTTTTTTGTTTTTTGTTTTATTTTTTAAGCATTTAGCATTGTCTTATCAAGTGAGCAGGTTATTGAGCCAGCATCATCAGAGCAAATGGGTTAGCTGTTTTCCTGGAGTGACACTTAGATAATGGCTGCCTGTATCTTCTTGTTCCCTGACCCAAAACATTTTCAAGGAACAGTACTGGCAATATTTTATTCATAGGAGGAAAATAGAGAATAATGGGAAGAAATCATGGGTAGCGATCAGCTGTTTCTACTTCACTGCACACTCTCCTATTTGCAGATTATAATGAAAACCTGGGCAGTTTGAAAGGCAAGCCATTGCAAGCTTGTCATTGTACTCAAGTTTTGAAAGCTCAGTTCAGTTTCAAAAGCAAGAGATCAGGTTTGTGGGCTTATAAATGTTGGGCCACCTTTTCATGTCTCTTGGCAGCAAGGTGATACTTAAAGAGATGGTTAAAACTTCTTTTCCTTGTTTTGAGTTGGGTGACAAGTTGGGACTCCTGTCACCAAAAGAGAAATGGAAAACCCGCTCACTCCAGCCCTCAAGATCAAGGGGGATACAGGAGTGCACAGGCTTCTAGGCCTCACAGGCTTCTAGGCCTCACAGGCTTCTTCTACAAGTGAAAGGATTTAGGAGTTGGCTACAGCGGTTGGGATACTCAGCTGCGTATCGCAGGCTTTATTTTCATCTTGGGGTGGTTATTTTACACTGTAACTGAAACTGTATTATGCAGTCTAAATACATTAACGTAACACAAGATAATAGGAAGGCAGGAATTTGTCTAGCCAAAGCAGAACTGATTTCTGCAGTGGAGAGGTTTTCTGTTCTTAGTTGTTCTTCCTAGATTAAAAGAAATAAAATAATTCTGTTTGAGCTGGGAAAACACTGGTCTTTAGGAGCTCCAATTACTGGTGTTCTCCTAGCAAGACAGCTTGAATTTGAGCGTGAAGAAAGAATGAATGGGAAGGCAAGATAACCCTTCACATGCTTGTTATCCAGAAAGGGGATGATATGTGGACTGCTGTATACTTCAGGGAGGTGATTGGGCTATTTAGGAAAGGGTTAGAGTTAAGGATTAGACAGGTTTGGCATACTACAGCATTACTTTCTCATGTATCATTGTGACCTTTATTGGTGATGATGCAACAGAATTGGTTTCTAGATTTGTTTTCCCATTTACAAAGGCACCAAGTTAAGAAGGACAAGAAATAGCAATGGGCCAGATTGTGATTGCAGAGAATTGGCAGCTGTGTGTGCTGAATTGAGTATCTGCTTTGGACAGAGAAGTGTTGGTGTGTGGTGTTATACTACCCTTAGGAAAGGACTTGCTGATTTTATGTAGGAGCGTAGGAAAAAGTGTAGTGAGGAGACAATATCCTTTCCCATCCTCTTTGCTGTTGATGAAATGGAAGGGTGATGGAGGTCTAGCAACAGCTTCAATGAAGCTGAGAGTTCAGACCTCCCCACCAGACTGCACGTGTTTAAAAAAAGGATGGCTTACCTTGGACTCAGCTAGCTCAGTTTCTTGGTATTTTAGCTCAAAAGTTTATATGGTTTGAACTACATTCCTCATGTTTGCCTTGTTGTGGGGTCTGCGCAAATACAGTTGTTGTTTTTCTTTTCCCCAGCTTAAGAAATGGAAGTGATGGTTCTTTTATGGCAGAGAACAACTGGTACATAAAAAATCTATATGCCTACCTATAAAACCCAACCAAGCCAAAACCCACAAATAACTTTGTATTTTCTTTCCTGAGATTTCACTCAGATTTCAATAAGTTACTTAGAGCGCAGTGACAAATCTCTACAAAACTTTTGCGATTGACATTGCGATGCTTTTGTAGTTGGAAACAAAATCAAATTACTGAAGTAGTTAATTTTTGGAACCTTTCAAAAAGGAACATAACTTCGTAATGTGATTGTGGAGTGTATCTTACGCAGCTCTCTTCGAGGTATCTAACCTTCCTGGAGTACAGTCTCCTCTTGAAAAAACAAAAGCATCAATGTTTGCTTGAGTCCTGAAATGAGCTATCTAGGGAAACTGCTCTGGAAGTATCGCTGCTACTGTAATTTCACACCTGCTGTTGCAAAAATAACTATCTCTGTTTACAAAAACAGCTCCAGTTATTTATGGATCAGAGTGACTTAGTATTTTTCAGTTGTGTTTTGCATGTTTACAGTTTTCTGATAACCTTGCGTTCCATAGTTGTTTCAAACACAAATTGGAATATGAAGATTAAATATTTATAGTTGCCAACCATATTCCTTGTCCTTAGTGCCCTGCAGTCTCTGACTGTTGTTTAGCTTCAGTTCCTGTTTTGCTCTGAGGTTGTTGCTGGCTGGCAGCTGGCTTTTAACTAAGGCTTCTGTCTGGATTAAGGACAGAGATCCAGTTTAGAAATGTATAAATATTTGTTTTCCTGGTGTCAAGAGATGTACTATTAAAACAACTCTTCAAATCTGCTGAGAGGAATTGAGATGGAGTCGTTACATGTGCTTGTTTCCTGGGCTTGGAGTTTGTGGCAGTACTCTTAAAGCTCAGTATCTTGTGGGATGGGTGGTGTATTTACATGCTGTACATGGACACGTGTGCAAGAATTAGATCCTGTATTCAAAACTCATTTGACAATCTCCTCTGTTTCTCTAAATTCTATTTAATAAATAAGTCTAATAAAGCAGTTAGAAAATGGTTTTTAAAAATTGCTTAGCATAGTTGTTAATGGATGCCTAAATTACTGCTTTTTTGTTTTGGTTTGGGTTTTTTGTTTGTTTAGTTGTTTTTTTTCCCCTAGAATTGTCTCCCTCTGCCTTTTTTCAATTCTGGTCACAACTATTGCACATTAACAGTTGCTGTTAGTTGATTACTTAGACTTTCTCTTGCCTTTCTTGGCTTAAAATCTTTTTCAGTTTTCAAAGTTTTCTCTCCTATTTCTTTTTTATTATTATTATTACTAATGTCCCCTTTCCTTTGTAACCCTTTCCTTCAGTTTTGCTGATGGAAACCCAAGTAACTGTGATGTTCATTTAAAACTCTTCTGACTCCAGGGTTCTGACATAGAGACGGTGACTTCGGAAAATGGAAGCACAAATGATAACCACGAGTGTGTTTCAGAAGAATATGTTTCTTTGCAAGAAGAGGAGCAACCAATTGATTTGCAAGGTAAGATGCTAAAAAAGAGGAGCAGTTCCATAAAGCAGGTGTCTGTTGTAACATTGGCACAAATTAGTATTTTTTAAGAGTTTATAGACTTTGTAGGCCTGTGTTGAAGTACTTACTGCATCAGTGTTACGGAAAATATCCAGTCATCAACTTTATAGAAGTATTTCTTTTTGAAATGGATGAAATTAGTAGAATGTCTTTCATTTGGTCAGTACTTTTAGGTGTGTTAAGAATTGTATGCACTGGTGTTGCTGGAAGATAGTTTATAGAAGTGCTATTGATAAAAGCAATTTACAATATTAAACATTCCTTAATAATGTCATAGATTAAATACGAGTAATTTGGAAGGAACCAGCAATGCTTTTACACCTGAAAAATAATATCATGGCACTGCATTAGGATTTCTTGAGTTGGAAGTGTAAGTCTGGTGCATATTAATATAATGAAAGTCCTTCCGCTTGTTTTAATTACTAAATATAATACTCAATTTGTTAATACTGGTATGAGAACACAGCCTTGACAGGTTCAGTGTGCAGCTGACTGAATTTGAGCTTGGCTGCGTTTCCAAATTCAAACCTCTCCTTGTAGAAACAGTCATTGAAACTCCAGTGACTCTCTGGAAGGTATTTCCATTATCCTAGCATGCCAGTGTGGCACGGTACCCACTTACAGCGTAGTGTTGTCTTTTATCCAACAGTGCTTTTCCTTGATAGGTCACTTGCATTATGCTTAGTGTGAGCATTTAGGTGTCCTCCAAAACGTTGTATTGCATAATGGCAGAATGGATTCTGATGTTTGTTAGAGGGACATTAAAAATGAGATTTAGTGTGTTTTTAGAAAACCTTCCCTGCTACGAGTCCATAACTGAAATCTGTCACAATTACACGTATGTTAATATTCTGTGGGAGTGGGCATAATTTGGGGAGTTACTGGTTTTAATCCTACGTTTGTTTGGTGTTTCCTCTTGTTGTTTATATAGCTCAGTGCAGCAATGATGGAGAGATACCAGTGGCAGAAAATACTCTCTCTGCTTCTGAGGAAGCTCAGACAGATCCAGAGGTAAATTACGTTATGTTATTCAGAAACTTCTGTAAGCCCTACCTGACAATGTCAAGCAATGTTTTGAAGGCATTAAAGATAAGAATTTTTTTCCTTTTGTTAAACCATTAATAATTCCTGCC